AGTAGGGGTGAGAATCTCATTCCATGTGTAAGCAGGGGCAACTAACGCTGATAAAAGGCTTGATTCCACAAGCAGCTGAACATGTACAATTCCATTGGCCACAAACTTATATTTCTATTTCTGGCCCTGTACCAGAAACCTTCAATCAATCTGTAGCTTATTTATTCCCAAGTGTGAGATATATTACTATAGTTCTAAACCAAAAGAAAAGAAAAAAGTTACTGTAAACAGGAAAGTCAAATATTTGGGTGGAGCACATAGAATTCATGAATTGTCTTATAAAATGTGCCATTTTAAAGGTATTTTCATGAGCACTGCTGATTAGTTTTAGGTGCCCAAGTCACCTAAAACCTATTGACTTTCAGTGAGATTTAGGCCCTTTTGAAAATGTTACCCTGGTTTCTAATGATCTCTAACAAAAATCCAAACTCTTAAATGAAGTTTTTACAATTAAGGTTTATCAAAATCTTCCTGCTAACTCTTATGGACATCAAAAGGAGATGAGGAGAGGTTACTACAGTAATACAAAACAAACAACAGGGCATGCATTATGATCTTAAGTGTAAAAATACACTTTAGATCATCATTTCAGTTACACTTGTGAATCTGGGCAAAGGCCCCATTCTTGCAATTACCAAGGTACATGATCTTTACCTACATGCATGCATAATTCCATTGAAGTCAATGGAACTGCTCACATGGAGAAGTGTTTAGAGAATTAGGACCATAGGCAGTCAAATTATACCAGATTCACACCGGTGAAAGTGAGAATAAAAACATTATCCCTTCAGTGTTCACTCTTATTTATGAGAAAGAATACTGCAATAGCTAAGTAATGCCATTTCTATAGTATTACAGGCATTTTACATAAATATTTCCCCATAGCTGTTATGTAAAATTGAAAAGCCCCTATTAAAAATTATTTTTTAAAAGTAGTAAGGTTTCATAAGGGAGTGTTAATCATATAGAAAACGTTGGCCTGGGCCTGGAAGGTAAAGAATATAGAACTTGTAAAACAATTGTTTTACAAAAAGCCTGATTCCCCTTCCCACCCCCATCCTTCCCCCCCAAAACTAGAGAAAATGAAGTCTGGGAGGGATCTGTAGGTACAGGATATGACAATGGGCAGAAGAACAGATCAAAGAAACAGGAAAAATCTCTTATGCTTGGGAGGGTATTTTAGTTAAGGAGAAGGCTGGCCATCAACATAATAAAAGGAAGGTAGTAGTGAAGTTTCCTATCCACCCTCCCCTCCCCAGATATATTAGAGTTGAGATTTGATCCTTCAGACAAAAATCTGTCTCACATGCGATTGCTCATAAAAGACAAAGGATTTGCAGAATGGGCCCTCATTAAAAACAAGTTTTCTTATTTAAAACAAACACCATGCGTAGATATCTGAGGAATAATTAAATCTTATTTTGAAATCAAATGAGCACCATTTTTAAAAAAGCACTCCTAAAAACTTTCCTGTGCTAGAAAGGGATAAAAGATGTTGAGTTTATAGTAAACACCGCAATTGAAAATACCAGAAAGTAGATAGTAAAACATCTTTAACCCTTGATTTATACTTAAAAGTCATAGATATTTAAATAAAAACACCGAGGAGTCCTTGTGGACCTTAGAGTTCTGCAGTTTCTCGTTGGAGTCTGTTTTTGAAGTTTTTTTGTTGAAGAATTTTTTTCTTCAAACTCCAACGAGAAACTGCAGAACTGGAATTAATTTGCAAACTGGACACCATCAAATTTGGCCTGAATAAAGACTGGGAGTGCATGGGTCACTAAAAAGTGTAATTTTCCCTCTGCTGATACTCACACCATCTTGTCAATGGTTGGATGTCGCCCATTGCCACCTTAATCACATTGGCCTCGTTAGCACTACAAAAGTAGTTTTCCCTCTGATAGTCACCCATTCGTGTCAACTGTTGAGAATAGGCCACTTCCACCTTAATTGAATTGGCCTCGTTAGCACTGACCCCCCACTTGGTAAGGCAACTCCCAGCTTTTCATGTGCTATAAAATATATATACTGCTGGCTGTATTTTTCACTCCATGCATCCGATGAAGTGGGTTTTAGCCTACAAAAGCTTATGCCCAAATACATTTGTTAGTCTCTAAGGTGCCACAAGGACTCCTCATTGTTTTTGAGGAGATTGGTAGCCATGTTAGTCTCTCGGAGATATTTAAATGTGTACATAATTTAGCTTGAATACCAGAAAATGCATCTAACTTTTGTAAATAAATCTTGTTTAGAAAACAGAGTACAAGTATAGCTTATACCAAACCTGTACAGCAAGTAAAAGTTGATTTACACAATATACTGTGAGATATGTAAAATCTGTTTTACCCTACACACCTATGTAGTAAAATGGATCCCTCATAACGATACAGAGTTTGGGTTGTATGTTATGACTTGAGTCAATTTGAACTCCCAGCACTTTAAGGATCCAAATCCAAAATCCCACCTAACTTCTTCCAAAAATGGGTGCACGGAGATAAATCACTTTGTGTTAGGCTTATCTTACAAACCAAAAATAGCTTTTTGCATTGATAAGAGGTGTTACAGAAACACTTTTCCCCTTTGCAGAGCAACAATCTTTCTTCACAAGGATGTTTGAATAGTTCACACACAAAATCACAACAGAATGAAGGAATTGACTCATCGCGAGGATTCTCCAAAGTCTTCAATTGATGAAGCACTTCTTAAGAAACGACATCTGGACCACTTCCTTTCTCAACTTGGTTCACAAAAGGCTTCATTTGGCCCACCAAGAAGAACCCTGATAACACATGGGCCATAGTTTGGAACAGCTATGTGAATACATAGCCTATAAATTACTCTTTGCATAAATAAAAAACCCTCTTGTATAACTGACCACTGAACATTAAAAGAGGTTCCTGGTACAGCCATTTGCTGCTTCTGTTACTTCTGATAAGAGTGGCATTTGTCATTTACCCCTGAATAACTAGTATATGTAAATAAGCACTTATCACAACTCCCAGTATATCTGTGTGTCGGCATGCTCTACTCACCACTAGGGCACCTCCTGCTGGGGATTAGTTCTGCCAGTCTGATGCCTCTTCCTTTGGGTGCTCACTCGGTCTCAGGATTTGATGGCTCCCTCTTTGTGGCTTGGCCCTTTGGCCAGGACACTGTAGTTTTCCCCTGGGTGAGGAGACACGGATGTGTACCAAAGTCTCTCTGTACTGGCTGTCCCAGGCAATCTTTCAATTCACTGCCCAGCCTGTGCAACTTCCTCGTGGCTGGTAAGGATGGGCCTGGGCCTGGGTTCCCTTTTCTTTGGGTTCCACCCCAGACACCCAAGCAACAGCTAAGGTCTGCTCTGTCCCACACCTTGCTGCTGTTTCCCTGGACTGCTTCCTAAAATGCCCCTCGAGCTCTTTCCTCACTCTCCTCCAGGTATTCCCTTCCCTCTAGGCCAAACTCCCCTCTCTCCCTAGCCTCAGAGACTACAGCCCTCCTCCTTGCAGTCCCATTTTGCTTTCAGCTACCTTGCTTTATACAAGCCCTGTCTGTTCCTGTCCAGGTGAGCTTCATCCTTTCATTAGTCCTCATGTCTCCTGGCTCCTCCTCCAGGTACAGGCTAGGCAGTTAATTGGCCAACCTAGCCACCTTAACCCCTTCAGGGCCTGGTGTGGGGTGAACCCTACTGCAGTGTGTGACTACAAATTAAAACATAAAATCTGTTTCACAGAGTTCTGTCCCAGCTGCTTTCACCAGAGTTCAAGAGTCACGGGTGTCTTAGGCATCACTGGAAATGAACTGATAAAGAAGCAGGTGAGGTGGGATCCACAAGAGTACTTAGGCACTTAACTCCCAGTTTTGGCTCCACTATGATCCACAAAATGTCCATCCAACACTGAAGGTGCTCACTCAGCACCTAAGTTTTTCAAGGTAAAAGGTCCCTGGGTGCCTATCTTTCTGCCTCTGGGCATGAGCAGGCATGGGTGCCTATCTTTCTCCCTCTAGGCATCCATGTGCCTATCTCCTACTTAAGCCTCAGAGCTATTCACATACCCAGGGAAGAAAGGTATTCAGCTATTGAAATCACGGGCAGGACCCGATCTGTCAGGCATACTCAGAGGGCACCTAGTGGATTGGGTTCCATTCAACAGTTACAACGACCCAGCTATGTGACTGGAAAAAACCCACACACCCGACTGATGCAGTTAAATTGACCTAACCCTCTGTGTAGACAGTGCTAGGTTGCTGGAAGAATTCTTCTGTTGACTTAGATACCACCTCTCGGGAAGGTGGATTACCTACGCCAACTGGAGAGCCCCTCCCATTGCTGCAGTGAGTGTCTGCAGTGAAGTGTTTTATGTAGATAAACCCTAAGTTAAGTATTTGGAATCTAAAGGATACTTTCTAATGACCATTTGGGAGTCTAAGGGTATACCAGCACTTAAAACACTACAGTGGCGCAGCTGCAGCTACACCTACACCACTGTAGCACTTCAATGTAGAGACTCACTCACTCCAGTAACAGGAGAGGTTCTCCCGTTGCTGTAGTTGACCTAGCTACCACATCTTGGGGAGGTGGATTAACAGAAGAATTCTTCCATTGGCCTACCATTGTCTACACCAGGGATTAGGTCGCCATAGCTACATCTCTCAGGGGTGTGAAAAATTTCACATTCCTGACAGCCATATCTTTCACACCCCTGAGAGACGTAGCTATGTCAATGTAAGTTTTCAGTGTAGACCAGACCTAAGCAATGTCAGTGCTTTTGTGAGACTGGTTACATGTGTTGTCAGTTGGCTTCCATGTGTGTGTTCTTTCAGTGTGCTGTCCAGCTCTGCACAGATAAGTGGTTCAGCAGACCTCGATAGTACTACCCAGTGTTGTTAAGTGCTGCAGGCTGGAATGTCGTTGCCTCGGTAACGCTGTTAAGGCTGCTCAGTACTTCTGGCCTTGGAGACAGTGCAACATGTTAATTCAGCAGACCTTGATGTCACTCAAAGAAAGACAGGCACAGTTTGGTGACGAAGGCGCTCGGCCAAGTTTATTGTCAATGAAGAACGGTACTAGTGCCCAGGCTTCATGGTTACAGGTACACTAACACGTGTATGCCTATTACAATGGACTCGGCTCAATCAGCAGCAGGACTTTCAGCTGCCCCCTCAGCTGGACAAAGGATTTAGACAAAGTATCCTGAAATTTATAGGCTGAGAAACAATTGGAATATAGTTTACATACCACCTTATGTATTTCATTACATCTGTTTGTTACCTCCCCTTGTTCAGGATATCTTGCATAAAACATCCTTATTCATTATTTTGTCAAACCATCTTATCTTGTACTAGATTGGGATGTATCTGTACTAGCTGGAATATATTTATGTAAATATCTAGTTGCTAGTACACTAGCAACAACTTTGCCAAGTTCATGTACTGGACAGTGGACGTGTAAGTATCTGCTTTAATACGTGGCCTGACCTTGGTTCACAGCCTCTGGGTTAGGCCTCAAATCTTGCCCCAAGCCCAGCGCTCTAGGCTCTCTCTACTACAATATGAAATCCAATTAGTCAGCTAATTAGATTCTCAGATGGTTGATCCTTATTGTGATAGTCTGACTGCAATTAGCTCACAGCTGTTTAGAATAGAGTTGTTAGTAACATTGTATAAAAGAACTCTTCTCTCTATTGAAGAATATTGGAAAAACAGTTTAATACAATTAAAATGAAATACTCAACTTTAATTATCACTGTTCATACAATCATCCTGATAGTAGTTGTTGCAGTTGAAAGACCAAGGCATTTCCACTCAGAACAGAGGGGGGAAAAATGACCTTATAGTTGAGAGACCCCTTTTCAAAATACACGGTAAAAACAAAGACATCAGACAGGTAGTTTGGTGGTCCATCTAGAAAATAATGTAGCTGGAAAGAAGTGAACCAGAGGTGAAGATGCTTGTTGTTCATTAGAGACTGAATATAGTTTCCTCTTCTCCCATCACTAACAGCAGAAAACATCTGCGACGCCTTACCGAAACATCTGTCACCTACTTACAGAAAACAGTTATTTCTCTTGGGAACCACTTTCTACACACTTGATGAATAAGACTTGATCCAGCAAAGTCTTGCATAACTCTAAGCATGCAAGCAGTCCCCTTAACTTGTTCTTCCAACCTGAACTCAATTTAACTACTCAAGCATGTGCATATCTATAAGCACATAATAAGTCTCTAGAAATTCCAGTTGGAAGAACAAGTCAATGAGACTGTGCACATGCTTAAAGACACCCAGGAGCTTACCTATTTTTGTGGATTGGGGCCTAACTAGCTGAAGACACAGGATCCAAGAGTGACAGCTTCCATTCCCTGCTTCACTTTTACATGAACACTACAGTGGGATAGAATTTTGTGCAACTTTAAGTAGTACAATATTCCTTCTGGCTATATTTTTCTCCATTAAGAATTTACATTCTCATTCAGGAAATGTCTGAACTCCATCAACTATTTGGCTGAACACCACAATATTCAGTTCCATAGGATAAACAGGGATTCTTTCGATTTGCCAGTATCAGTGACATTTTATCACTGGAAACACTTTTCTTTCATCTACAAAATTGATACTCAACCTCAAGTGGTGATTGTCATTGCATTATACCATATAATAAGGCCACAACCCAGAGGGGCCAGTTTTTACAATATACCCAGGTAGTTTGCAAGTAGATGGACTCCCACAATATTTCATGTACAATTCCACCATTTAGTTTTGTCTATTTATTCCAGTGCTTTCAAGTCCACACTTTGCATTGTGTTTAAGTCACCAATTTCCTTTTGCTGCACTGAAGTAGATGTGGCAGGAAAAATGCTGCAGTCCCATCCTCTGGTAGAACATTAAGGAAATCCCTTAGCTCCAATTCCATGGCAACAACTGATAAAGTTTCTGCACAGGGAAAGAATACTATGTTTAAAATCATCTATATTAAGTGCAACACATTATAGATGTGATCTTTAACTTATTTTGCTGATTTAGTTATCTAAATATTGTGATTACAGTAGATTTAAGAGAAAGACCCAAATAACAGCAGATAAATTTGGCAACTGGGGAACAGTTTGAGAAGTGAAGGTAGCAATTCAGGGTTGTTTATGGATGAAGTATTGAGACACACCACTATAACGTCTATCTGAACTAATCACCTCCACATACAATACCAAATCCCAGGTAGGTCTCATCCAGCACCTTCAGTGCTGTATAAAATTGAAAGGAAGCATTAAAATAGAGCTATGCTGATGGTGTAACACAGCAGTTGGTACTTTGGGAGCAACCTATGAGACAAAGCTATTTAATTATAGGCTCTCCTGAGCCAACTAATATCAATTACAATGAGATGATAATGGTTGGACAATGAGTATCTGACAACAGAAGTTTACCGCTTTTATGCTTCTGACAGGGAGTACTGCCATTCTCTTATGGCAACCCAGTAGTGACACTCCTCTATTCACACATTGTGCAGGTGTTGTAAAGGTCTTGTCATGGAAAAATATGACTAATTTTATTCAGCATTCTGAATTGGCTATAAAAGAGTCAAACCACTAGTCTATTATTTATTTCCTCCATAACAATGAGTAAGGGGACCATGGCAGCTGCCATGGTTGGTCACTGCCCCTTCAGCCAAGTTTCCAGAGGAAGAGGGGAAAAAAGTTCCAGTCTCAGGAAGAGGAAAATCAAAGAGTCAGAGAGTCACTTCCTTTGGCTAAGGATCCAAATCCCCCAGAACAAATACTTGACTGCTTCCTTCTGTGTAATCCCAGTGACCACAAGCAACACAACATGGCTTCCCTCAGCCAAGAGTCCAGCTATGAAGAGAGAGAGTCCTTATTGTGGTTAGAATCACTGCACACCAGTACAGTTCTCAATACAAGCCAGGCAGTTATTTCCCCAGGCATTCCTTTCACCTGTCTTGGCTACAGAAATGAGTAATTGCACATTACTTTCAACGGATAGTTCTGTGATGTCTTTACCCGTATTTATATCTGGAAAAATCTTTGATTCCTGTCATGCATAATTAGTAGGCTGTCAAATGATTTGAAAAATTAATCATGATTAATCACATGATTAAAAAAATTAATCGCAATTAATTGCACTGTAACAATAATAGAATACCATTCATTTAAATATTTTTGGGTGTTTTCTAGATTTTCACTTTATACTCATTTTTTATTACAAATATTTGCACTGTAAAAAAAAACAAAATAGTATTTTTCAATTCGCCTAATACAAGTACTGTAGTGCAATCTCTATCATGAAAGTTGAACTTATCAATGTAGAATTATGTATAAAAAAATAATTGCATTAAAAAAAACAATGTAAAACTTTAGATTCTACGAATCTACTCAGTCAGCCAATTGCTCAGACAAACAAGTTTGTTTACATTTGCAGGAGATAATGCTGCCTGCTTCTTGTCTACGTCACCTGAAAGTGAGAACAGGTGTTCTCATGGCACTGTTGTAGCTGGCATCACAAGGTATTTACGTGCCAGATGTGCTTAAGATTCATATGACCCTTCATTCTTCAACCACCATTCCAGGGGACGTGTGTCCATGCTGATGATGGGTTCTGCTCGATAACAATCCAAAGCAGTACGGACTAATGCATGTTCATTTTCATTATCTGAGTCAGATGCCACCAACAGAAGGTTGATTTTCTTTTTTGGTGGTTTGGGCTCTGTAGTTTCTGCATCGGAGTGTTGCTCTTTTAAGACTTCTGAAAGCATGCTCCACACCCCGTCACCCTCAGATTTTGGAAGGCACTTCAGATTCCTAAACCTTGGGTTGAGTGCCGTAGCTATCTTTAGAAATCTCACATTTGCGTTTTGTCAAATCTGCAGTGAAAGTGTTCTTAAAATGAACAACATGTCATCATCCGAGACTGCTATAAGATGAAATGTATGGCAGAATGCGGGTAAAACAGAGCAGAGACATAAAATTCTCCCCCAAGGAGTTCAGTCACAAATTTAATTAATGCATTTTTTTTTAAAATAAGCATCATCAGCATGGAAGCATGTCCTCTGGAATGGTGGCCGAAGCATGAAGGGGCACACGAATCTTTAGCACATCTGGCACATAAATACTTTGCAATGCCAGTTACAAAAATGCCATGCAAATGCCTGTTCTCACTTTCTGATGACATTTTAAATAAGAAAGCGGCAATATTATCTCCTGTAAATGTAAACAAACTTGTTTGTCTGAGCAGTTGGCTGAACAAGAAGTAGGACTGAGTGGACTTGTAGGCTCTGAAGTTTTACATTGTTCTGGTTTTGACTGCAGTTATGTAACAAAAAAACAAACAAACAAACAAACAAAAAATCTACATTTGTAAGCCGCACTTTCATGACAAAGAGTTTGCACTACAGTGCTTGTATGAGATTAATTGAAAAATACTATTTCTTTTGTTTATCATTTTTACAGTGCAAATATTTGTAATAAAAAAATAATATACACTGATTTCAATTACAACACAGAATACAATATATATATGAAATATATGCAATATATATGAAAATGTAGAAAAACATCAAAAATATTTAATAAATTTCAATTGGTATTCTATTGTTTAACAGTGTGATTAAAACTGCGATTAATCATGATTAATTTCAATTAATTTTTTTAGTTAATCGCGTGAGTTAACTGCGATTAATCGACAGCCCTAATAATTAATTAAAAAAATAAGGATGTATGCAACAATTTTGGATGTGTGTAAATGCTTACTGCACATTTCACAGTACTACTCTGTTGTCTCTGCGGAGTTACATTATGAGTAGAGAAAGACCTTCCTCCCCAAACTGAATGATGGTAAAATGCCATGTCACAGCAGTTTCTAGAGGAAACAGCTTTCAAATACTTTAGATGCAGTACAAAGGCTTTCACATATGGAATTTAGTTGTAAATCAAGTTCTTTACCTTTCAGCGATGAGATGAGAATGGAGTAGTCATCTCCAACATATCTGGTTCGTTTACAAAGTTCAGGAAGCAGTTTGTTCCACCATAGGGCCTAATTCATCCAAAAATAAACCCACAGAAGAAAAATAAGTTAGTGGTGACTATGAATAGTAGGTTGTGAACACAAATTTTTAATAAGTACTTTGAACTAACATCAAAGATGGTACAAAAAAAAAAAAGTGGTGTAAGTTGAGATGGGCCTAGTAATTAATTAGTCTGCACAGTGCTTTGAAATGCAATGTTTTCAGACTTCAGTGTGATCCTTTTTAACTCAGCAAATTAGAGTGATGATAGCACCCCCTAGTGCCACTGAAGATAAGGCTGTGCCTGTTTCTGACAGGCTGTGCATGTGGTTCAGACAGACTACAAACCCACATAATTAGCGCAGGGGGAAAAAAAAGGTTAATGCATTATTATGGTTACGGATTTAACAAATAAGTTAAGTCTCTCATTATAGCCCGATGCAGTGTGGGTAAAAAAGTGTTCTATGAGAACTTTATGCTCTTATGTTTCTTGATATACCCCTTCCACCTCCAATAATCTTAATGTTGCATGAATACACCATTTAAATTTTAATAACACAAAAAGCTATTCATTTTGTGTTTATAAAGACTGAGGGGAGGAAAGAAAACACTATCCATCTCTCTTCAAACTCTGTGTGGTCTCTTTCTCTTCTCCCATTAGTCTTTGCCTGCAGTATTGCAAGGCTACAATTACCCCAGATATTGGTTTTCTCTGTTCCACTTCTTGATCAAGGGCCAAAGGGAGCACACACGAGCCCCAGCTGTACTGACTGGGGTTCCAGCATTTCCACTTACTGGAGTGTCTCCCCCTTTGCTGATATATTCAGCAGAAGTTATGTCCACTATTAACTGAACATTTTTCAGAGTGAAGGGAGGCAAATAGCAGACTCCCCCAAGGATCTGTACTGGGACAAGTGCTGTTCAACATATTCATAAATGATCTAGAAACGGGGGTAAACAGCAAAGTGGCAAAGTTTGCAGATGATACAAAATTACTCAAGATAGTGAAGTCCAAAAGCTGTCTGTGAAGAGTCACAAAGGGATCTCACAAAACTGGGGTCTGGGCAACAAAATGGCAGATGAAATTCAGTGTTGATAAGTACAAAGTAATGCACATTGGAAAACGTAACCCACTATATGTACAAAATGATGGTCTCAATTAGTTGTTATAACTCAAGAAAGATCTTGGAGTCATTGTGGATAGTTCTCTGAAAACATCTGATCATTGTGCAGTGGTAGTTAAAGCTAACAGAATGTTAGGAAGCATTAGGAAAGGGACAGATAATAAGACAGAAAATTTCAATGCCACTATATAAATCCATGCTACGCCCACACCTTGAATACTGCTTGCAGTTCTGGTTATCCCATCTCAAAAAAAGGATATATTAGAATTGGGGAAAGTACCAAGAGGGGCAACAAAAATGACTAGGAGTACAGAACAACTTCCATATGAGGAGATATTAAAAAGACTGGGATGGCTTAGCTTAGAAAAGACGACTAAGGAGGGATATGATAGAGGTCTATAAAATCATGAATGGTGTAGAGAAAGTGAATAAGGAAGTATTTACCCTTTCACATAAGACAAGAACCATGGGTCACCCAATGAAATTAATAGGCAACAGATTTAATACAAACATAAGGAAGTACTTCCTCATACAACACAGTCAGTCAATCTGTGGAACTCATTGACAGGGGATGATGTTGTGAAGGCCAAAAAATATAACTGGGTTAAAAAAAGAATAGACAAGCTAAGGGAGGATAGTCACATCAATGGCTGTTAGCCAAGATGGTCAGGGATACAACCCTATGCTCTGGGTGTCCCCAAACCTCTGTGCTAGAACCTGAGACTGGACAACAGGGGCTGGATCACTCGATAATTGCCCTCTTCTGTTCCCTCTGAAGCATCTGGCACCAGCCACTGTTAGAAGACAGTATACTGGGTTAGATGGACCATTGATCTTACCCAGTATGGTTATTCTTATGTTAGCAGTTAATTGGTAAGGAGTGGGGAAAAACCATAGCAGTACTGCTAGAGCCTTGACCAGAATTGGAGAGATCAAGTTCTTCCTCAAATATTATAGGCCACGGGGGAAGGAAGCACGAATAGACTCAAGTTCCTGCTCATCAGTGGTGCAATATCAGGCAATGAAAATACAGTTCATATGTTATTAGGGAGCAGGGAACATATTTAATCATGGCATTTTGAGACATTAATAATGATTTTTTCTCTTTTTATTGTGGCAAGTTTCACATGAAAAAGTTCAGCTACTTCTGAGTTACTTGTAAGCCAAAAAATACTCAGCTTTCTCTGTTTACAGCATATCAGTGTATTATTCCCCTCTCTGCTTGCAAGTAACTCAGCCATCTGAACATTTTTTCCACAACCTTAATATAAAATAAAATAAAATATCACACCTTCAGGATGAAACTAATCTGGAAAACCTCAGCCCAAAGAGTTTTTCAGAAAGAGAGTCTATACTAAAATACCATATATAATCCATATTTCTAAGTATAAGTAACTTTGACCAGGAGCATCTGCAGTAAAAACTACCATCTTAAAAACACAAAAGCAAAAATTGGACATTTATATGAATGTGACTTGAACCCAGTCAATGAAATCTATGAATTTTAAGGGTAAGGATCAGAGGGGTAGCCATGTTAGTCTGGATCTGTAAAAAGCAACAGAGAGTCCTGTGGCACCTTTAAGACTAACAGATGTATTAGAGCATAAGCTTTCGTGGGTGAATACCCACTTCGTCAGACGCATGGGTCTGACGAAGTGGGTATTCATCCATGAAAGCTTATGCTCTGATACATCTGTTAGTCTTAAAGGTGCCACAGGACTCTCTGTTGCTTTTTAAGGGTAAGGATGAAACTCCTATCTTGTCTCATTAAACTTGTGCACTGCAAGTGTCTAAGCAACAGGTATTTATGGCCTTTGGTGCTAGAACACTTAGGCAAAAAAGGTCCAACCCTGTTCCCATTAAAGTCAATGGGAATTTGGCCATAAAATTCAATGCAAGCAGTTTCAGGCTCAGAGTGAGTTAAGGATGGGAGTTTCAACTTTAATAGAAATCTGTGCCATTTGATTATCTCTGCAGTGTAGTACAAATTCTCCTATGCACAGCTAACAACTACTGAAAAGAAAGAGAAAGAAAGACTACAATAAATTACTAGATTCGCATTTTAAAAGCTCACCCGATTTTCATCTTTCAGCTCATGCTGGGCATATGGTAGGAGTGCTTCAGGACACTTCTCTAGGAGCTTGTCAATGGATTTCTCATACTCTCCTACCCCCGTAGTGCAAAGAACATGGACACTGAGACCAGCATTACTGTCTTCTGATAATGGCTCCAAGAAAGGCAGAACTGAAGCTATGTCGACTGATGGACCACATAAAAGAGACTGAGGACAAGAGGAAAACTTGCCGTTTGGATGTCAAAACAGACAAAATGCTCACATGCGAACAAAATTAATTTAAAAAGAAATAGTTTTGTCTTTCTGATATTGCTTGGTTAAACAATTAGGCCAAAAATACTGAGTAGAATATAAGTATACATGACCATTATTTACATAATTCTTTGATCATTTCCTCTCCCATCATTTGCACCATTCCTCTATCATAGTTTAGTTTGACTGACAGAAGTATTGTTTTAACAGCTTTACATCATATCTATATTCATCAGCAACATACTGGGCTGTTTAGCAAGAGGTTTAAACAGTCTTACTTCATTTAGACCCAATGTGAACCAAATTCTGCCCACCCTAAGAATCAGAATCACCTAAGAATTTATGCTGGATTGTTTGATCATTGTAAACAAGGCCTCCACTAAACCTGGTGTAGTTCCTGTACTCAGTCATCTGAGCTGCCATGGGTCTACAAGAAAGTACACAGCCTTGGTATTGACAGTTCACCCCATCCCCCTTGATTTAAAACTACAGTTTTCCCCCTGCAGCTGAGATATTACTCAATTTATTATGTGGTCCTCTGTCACAGATCCTAGCGAGCACCCGCCCCCCCCCCGGCAGCTACCCATTAGGACTGCTCTGAGGGGGAATACAAACCTTTGCTGCTCTGGATCCCCACGATGTTTCAAGCTCCTAGAACCTCAGCAGGCAGCAGCACTGGTTCCTCATTTGGCCTCTCTGGCACATTTCGTAGGCACTGACCTTCAGTTACCGTCTCTTGGAAATGGGACTCCTTGACCTACCTGCCCTAGGCCTGCACAGACCCAACACACCCCTCCCCCCGAATTCCACCCAAAGATGTGACGCTTCTGGTTTACATTTTAACTCTCTCAGGGGCCACAGTAGTAGCGAAGCAGTCAATGCATAGACTTTACACATTCTAGCACCCATATGTTCTTTTATATTTAATAATGTAAAGCACAGGAGAGTACAGCTCAAAACAACAAACATCTGAAACTGAAATGTCCCTCACTTTCTAGCTTACTCTTCATTTTGAGCCCTTGGGGAATCATCTGGATCCAGGAAGGCAGGCAGGTAGGGAATCCCTCCTCACGCAGGCTGTTGCATGCTAGCTGGTCTCTCTCTCTCTCATGGATCTTATGTGATCTTGCTCTCTCCTGGCTCATGTGGTCTTCTTCCTATGTGTTTATTTAACACCTTCCTGGTCACCTGACTTGTTTTGTTCTTCTCCTGGAAACTTTCCATTATTCCCACCTTCCCTGCTCCTTTCCGGAGTAAACTAAACTAAACTGGTTTTCTAAGGACACAGCTCACCCACTGTCCCAGATGTTTGCACCTAAATAGAGTTAAGTCCTAAGTATCTTCTTATTGTATCTGCCTGGTGCAGGCCCCGTCAGCAATGGTGGACCCAACATACATACAGCACTCATGACACAGCAGATTTTCATAATACAGTTTCACAATATCAATCAGAATTCATAAGTTGTACAGAGATAGCCCCAAATCATCACACCCTCTTAAAAATATCTATTGTGTGTTGGTGGTAACCCCCCTCACCATCAAGAAAGATGCATTTCATGCTATGTTTATCCTTTTTGCAACATCCAACACCTCCTCCCATTCCAGCCACTAATTCACCTTAACTCTGTACAGCATGGCAGGACATGTGCAATATCCCACCCCTGAACACCCTGTCTTGGCTGGTTCATGGATTAGCCAAAGGGACAACTTGAAAGTCATGAAACAGCATGCAACAACTAAGGGCATGTTAGCGCTCAGGCAAGAGCTATACAAAGACAGGTAATTTCATTTTGCAAAGGATTTTGAGATTTCACAATTTAGTTTTGTTCCAATCTGGAATGAAAACCAAAATTTTTAAAATTCTCTGTGAAAGCCCTGGGGTCCCTGCCTCATAGGCAGTCTGCCTGGCTGACTGCCCGGGACCCTGAAATCCTGGGACCCCAGGCTGATGTGAAGCTGCGAGCTAGCTGCTACCACGCTCTTGGCTCCCCTCAGCCCACCTAACAAGCTGCTGAGGGGCCAGGATGGCAAGCTAGTAGGAAGCCTCACACATTTCCAATAGAAGCCTGGCTGCTTTCCATCAGACGTCAAACCATCTCAGAACGTTTTGATTTTGACTAAAGGGCATTCTCCATTGGAAAAATGCTCCGTTGGAGAATTTCGGACTAGCTCCACTCAGGATCTCTCAGGATCAAGCTCAAGTCTCCTCACCACCGAGGAGGGGAATTTCCAGACACCAGCACATGTCCAGGACCCGTCATGTAGACAAAATAAACTAAAAATTCCATCCTCTCCACCCACTTCCACTCCTTCACTCTTTGAGGGAGGGATACCTCAGTGGTTTGCGCATTGGCCTGCTAAACCAATCCTTGAGGGGGCCACTTAGGGATCTGGGGCAAAATCAGTAATTGGTCCTGCTAGTGAAGGCAGGGGGCTGAACTCAATGACCTTTCAGGGTCCCTTCCAGTTCTATGAGAAGAAAATATGGAGATATACCTTCTTTCTTTTGACTCCCAAAGAAGCTTCTACTGCCCGTTCTGGCAGCTCTCTCTACAGAGTTTGAAGAAAGTCCAGTTGCTCCAAATATTAATTTCTATTCACACGTAACCTAACACCCATTAACTAAGAAAACAATGTAAATGGTTGCATGACTGAAGCACTGAAATCCAGTTTTACACAAATTAAGAAAAATACACAAACGGTAAAAGAAAAATAGAGACATTCACAAGGCCCCAATTCTGCAAACCCTTTTGCACACATAACTTTGATGGGTCAACTCCAATGTTTAAAGGTAAGGATATGCTTAGGTGTTCACAGGAGTAGAGGCCTAAGTTGTAGAGAGTGAAGATATAAGAGCATCATACCTGTAGTTTTGAAAGATCTTCAGGATACTTATCACATGTACGTCCCGATGACATTATGAAGGTCACCCAAGGGAAAATTAACCCATAATGATTACAGGAGTTTATCTAGAAAAAATATTTCAAATCAATATGGTCACATATGAAACCCATTCCAGTGAAGGAAATCTCTGAATAAAGGATGCCATTTTAGAAAAGTAGCTATTATTTCTATCTTGGGTAAATATTCAAACTAGAATAGGTGAATGAAGTATGCCTTGAAACCTAATGCGGTCCAATGATTTATTTCACATTTGTTAGTTAGAAGCCTCTCCTCCCACCAATCAAACAATGCAAGGCTTTAATTGTACGCCCAATGCCTGTGTTACTCCATTATTAGCCAGTTAAAATTACTATGTGAGCAGTTCAGCTGGCACCTTCCCTGCTCATTACTCAGATAATGCACCTGAAACTATGTTCAATTTTCCACCCAAAAGGGCTGGTAAAGCCAAGTTCTCCTGAAGTTAGGTCTCTCATTTAGCTCCAGATTAACAGATGATCAAAATCCAAATACTCTAAAGTAATTTATATGACCCAGAACACGGATAATTGATACAAGTTCATCCTTGAAACACTGCAGTGTCAAACTACAGGTAATCTAGTTTCATGTCAGTGCCCCTTGATGTCAGGAACTGGAACTGACAAATATGCATGCATTTTTCCACAAGACAATTTGAAACCCCCACAACAGTAGCATTAAGGACCTGTTAATCAAAAGCCAGCAGTTCTTTGCAAGAATTAGCATTTGGTAACTCAACACATAAGTTTATCTGCTCGCATTCTCACTACTTTTAAGGACAATTTGTCCAGAATTAAAGCATTGCAAGATGGTTTTATGACTGAATATTCCCTTACACTCACTGTCTGTTTCATGCAAATGTATTTGCAGTGTATAGTTACCAGATCCTCTGTTGTTTTCAGTGGTTTGGTATCAGGAAGCTGCTTCCGCGATAGTCTCCAAATGTACTGTGAAGTAAGCTTGAATAAGAGCTCCTGGAGTATTTCTTTCTCAGAGCTTGCTACAAGGAGGGCTTCCCAGAAGTCTACTAAGAGCTGAGGGTTAGTACCTTCCTTCTTCCCACACAGCATCTGAGCACCACGGAAGATTCAAATATTAATGAAAATCAAGATGACTATTACATTGTCTCATTGTTTATCTGTACTGCCTCGTCTGTCTATATCCAACAGTGTCATGTCTTAAATTGTAAGCTCCTTGGGGCAGGGGACCGTCTTTGTTCTGTGTTTGTACCTACCCAGTCCATGATTAGGGTTCCTAGGTGCTAAGGTAAGATAATAATAACAGCAACAGAAATCTGAATGTACAAAAGTTTCAATGGACAAGACTAAGTCTCCCTCTACTCGTCATAGATGAGTGTGTTCTTGTTTTTGTGTAATCCTGATGTATTTCTAGTATATGTGATGCCAGCTACTGTGGTGACGGACAATGTAGAAGTGCATGCAACATATTTAAACTCTTGATTCCTTAATGTATAGGTTTGGTATGCAAGAAACACATTCCTTTGTGAGTTTTTATTCTGCTATCAACGGTGGTCACATTGTAAAATGTTTAAAGAGCCGAAATGCTGACACCATCTAGAATATGTCCACACCTAAGCAAGTCCCTTTGAAGAGTCATTCTAATCAGAGAGTTGGGGCTAAGTTAAAGGAAGCACCCCCCAGTTCACTTGCCAGTGGGAGCTAATCATAGGGCTCTGTGAGGAGTTCGGAGGACTGCACCAAGGGGGACCCCATCACCATTGAACCTTTCCTTGGGCTTTTAAATGCTGGCCAGACAGGTTGGGGACCTTGATTACTGCATTTACACTGAACCCCTAAACTTGAAACCAACTACATTAACCTTAACTACACTGTTAGATCTTTAATTTCATGATGAAAATTCAGAATGATGGAAGTGAGATCACAAAAGGCCTGGGGGTGCGGTGAGGATGGAGATAATTTGGCTCTAAAATGACCGAAACCCCTTATAATGAAGAATAGTCAAGATCTGTGGAGCAAGGAACTCCTTAGTTCTAATTCCTGCTCTGACAGAGGTCTCTTTTGAGGCCAGGAATAAGCCACTTGTTCTATGCATCCGAAGAAGTGGGCTGTAGTCCACGAAAGCTTATGCTCTAATAAATTTGTTAGTCTCTAAGGTGCCACAAGTACTCCTGTTCTTCTTTTTGCGGATACAGACTAACACGGCTGCTACTCTGAAACCTGCCACTTGTTCTAGTTTTTCTATCTGTAATGTGGGGATAGGCCCACCTCTCTCAGGTTTGAGAGGACTATTTACTTCATTTGTAGAGTGTTTTTGAATATGTACATAGAAGATTATGTAGCATCACATCTGACTTGATACCCTTTAGAAAAAGATTTGTATGCTATGGTATTAATGCAATTTTCAGAAGGGGCCCATGGGAGTTATTTACCCAATTCCTATTAAATTTTGATAGGCACCGGATGCCTACCTCCCTTTGAAAATCCCAGTCTCCAAGATCAATGTGTGCTTGGTTGAACTGACGGATGCAGAGCATAAAGACAAATTTAATGCATTTCTTTGGCTAAATTTAATGGCTGGACCATTCACAAAAAGAACCAGTTTCTTACTCCAGTTAAAATTTCTGTCAAGCTTAGTGACAGAAGCCGCTGGGCTTTCATAAAGCTTTTCCTGCTGTAACTCGAGGACCACTCGGATTGTTTTGGTCACCTCTAGTTGTTAACACCAGGCCTGGGCTTTGTAGAAGTTAAATCAAAATTTTAAAAATGCAACAATCCCGCAAACAGACAAACCTCGAAGTAAGAGTCTGCTTCTTCCAATTCAATTTTACTGTTCTCGTGTAAAGCCAACATCGAAGCCACCAGCAACCCAGGCCACGTCTCCTTCAGATGAACGGCAAGTTCGGTCGGAACAATTTGCCCTTCTCTCTGCTGCCTCAGAAGTCTTGGTTCCCCAATAAAGCCATATGCCAGTCTCATCTACAGACACATCCATTTACAAGTTAGGCAAAGAATTCAATCCTTCCCAAACTCAGGGCTTACTCAAGCAGTCTGGCTTATGTAGGTGAAATGCAGGGAGGATATGGCAAGTGAACTATATCCCTTCTCACTAGGCCAAGCCATGGTACTGTAGTGCAGCTCCCCACAGCTGCTACTTCAAGCTATGCACAGGAGTAATGACTTCAGATACTCTGCACCACTTGCGTGGGCAGTTGGGCCACTGAGTCTGTAGAATCTTGGATCTCAGCCATGTGTAGCCCACAGTGCTGCCCTATACATGGCTGGCATCCAAGGTGTGCCGGGGTTGCAGGCCCATCATGTGCCTTATATGGCACAAGGAGTTTGCACTGATCCTCCATACTTTACCCTTAATGTTGTAAGATTTTATTCCATTTGTTCTTGCTCCCTGTCTTAGGGATCTTCCAGTTCCATGAGTCTAAACTTTACTCACTATATATACACACACATACAGAAAACTAGACTTGACTGTAAACCAAAACCAATGTATTAGGTGCTTTTGAAAACCCCACCCAAATGGCTTTCAATGGGACTTGTGCTCCCAAATCAATAAGGTGCTTTTGAAAATGCTACCCATGAATAATAAAAATGATTTTGCAGCAGTATATATTGTAATAGCCCCTTTTTATTCATCAGCTGCTGCTGTTTATGCAGCAAACGTAAATTATCATAGATCAACCTGACATCTGAGGCTCTCTTTACTCTCTAGGACCTACCTTGTTCCTCATTTATATTACTTCATCAGTACTTTTGCATCCAGTTAGAAAGAGATGATCATGCTTTGCTGCGGAAGAGACAGCAGGTGGTGCTGAACAACACTGTAGCTGATTTTCTAACATATCCTAACCTCCACACTCTGCAGTTCAGAAATCAAGGCTGAGCATGTACTTAGTGATGGTTCTGGCATCAACCCCAGGCTGGTGATGCACCCATGGGCTTATTTTCTCCTCAAAATTAGACACTTCTGACTTCCCTTCCAAAGCCATTTTTAAACCGGATTTAAAAATGCAAAAGGGATGAGCTCACTCAAGAGCCTGATGCAGGTCCAATATCTCTTCCTCTCTTGCAATACTCGTCTTTACGTGCCCTGACCAACCCTACTAGTTTGTGGCCTTTAACCTCACACATGGGGATTTGGACTGAAACATCAACGTCAGAGTCAGATTTAGTCAGAGTATAATGACCTCCCTTCAAAGTGTCTGTAAATCCATACCACCGATGACTGATATCAAGCCCTGCTGCGCTACATTTCCTTCCATTAAATAGGATTCCTACTGTGACTGCACCAAAGCACATTCTCCTCCTCTCTCAATAAGGACAAAGTGCCTTGACTACAGTCAAACAGAAGAGAGCAGTGGACTGAATACAGGGAACTCTACATCCATGACATGGACATCCTGCCCACAGCTCTTCACACACCAACACCAAGGACTTTTGGTGTGCAAGCCAAGGGTCAGGTGGGACTATGCAACCTATCCTCGGGGCGGGGGGGAGTCGGTGGAAGGAGGGAGACACAGGGGCTGCAGAGGCTACTATGCTCCAACTAATATTTAATTTATTTACTGTACTTTGATTTAGAAACACTTAAAAAAAAAAGTGTTTTGTGATTATTAAAATAATATTTAATATTAAAGTAATAGTCTAATTATATGCCCATGTGTATATTAATGGGAATTCTAGCTTCCCTGGAGCACAAGCTAAACAACTCATACCCCTCAACCCACCTCCTCCCAGATGCCCAATAAAGACCATTAAGCGTGTGGGGGAAGAGCAGGATTTCCCCCTGCCATGAGACATAACCCAAACCAACTGAGTTGGGTTTAACAGAGAATCTGGTACTAAATGGGAAGGTGACTACATGGGCAGCATTCTGTACCTCTGTATAACAGTCCATCTCATTTTTATATGCCTCTAGGTCTCCCATTTTTAGAGCCATGGCAGCTTTGGTTAGCGTCAATACCACTGATGGCACAATCAGTTCCACTTTCTGCAAAAGCTCCATTGCCATCAAGGGACATACATTTTTCATGCACGGACTGCAGAGCACATGGGGCAGCTGGTTTGGTTCAGCAAGATGGAATATTTGGAGCACTTTGGCTGCTGATTCCTATTAAAATAAAAGCCATTTAAAATAAGCTTAGCCTCCTGAATATACATTGGAATGAATAAATAAAATCAAACTACTGGTGTGCAGAAATGATACAGACTTGCTTTCAAACATAGGGGCATACTGTAGTTGGTAAGCCACAGCGGTAGGGGCAAAGGAACGCCACCTGACAGCATGTCTGCAGAGACATTCTGTCAACTCAACCAAAATTCCTCTGAAGGGCTGGGAGAGCAGACATGGAGTTTCAGCACCCTTTAAAGGTGGCATTTGGAGATGTGGCTTGGGCTCGGTTCATTACATTGATAGGGGTAGCAAAAAAAAGTTTGAATGGAGACTTTCCTAGCATGTTGGTATCCCCAGCCTTGGTTGGGGCCCTGTCTCTGGAAAACGTTTATGCATCATGACAACAAAAACCACAATACATTCTTCTGAGGAGAGTCTGAACAGGAAATATCATTGATAATCTCTTTGTGTTTATAGAAATTACGTCTTGTTTATATTTGGTCGGCAAAACTAGGATGGGTCCCCCTTGTGCCTCTCACATGCAAAGGAGAATAATCATGAGCCAACAGATATGGAGATTTCAAAAGTTAAGCAATGCTTCCTTTATAAGTGTCCCAAGTTCCTCAGAATAGGAAATAAGCAGTAGATTAAAGAGAAAGTTCCTATTCTTACTTTGCTTAACTCTTCATTTAAATCTTCATAAAGAGAATGATTTAAGTAAAAGATAAATCCTTTTTCATATTTCTGTGTTCCACCCTCTACCACCGAGTCTATTCTCTTCAAAACTTCAGTTATGGATAAGCCAGACATCTTGTAGTAAGGCAGGGCAAGATGGGCATCCTTAGTGTTAAACCTGAAAGCAATGGGGGGAAAAAGAATTGGGGACCTTTGCAGCAATAATCTTACAGAAAAAAAAAGAAGATTTCACCCTGATCCGTAAACGGTTTGAGGCTGGAGACATTTCAGCATTTACATATTTCTACTCCATACTTAAGCCAAGACTACAAGTCTAATGAATGAGAAACCAAACTGAGATGAAAATCTTTACAGTCCACCCAGAGATTGTATATGCAATACAAGTGTAAAATGGTGATGAGAACAAGCGATCCCAACATTCTTAAAATTGACCTAGGAGGGCACCCTGGGAAACCCAAAATTAACATCTTTCAAAGTACAAACCTGCTGTAACAGTCTCCTAGGTGAGCACAACTTTCTCTGAATGCTGCCAGGAGCTTCTCTTTCTCTTCTGATTCCATCAGACTGGGATCCATTAAAGCTGCTCTAACTAACAAGTGAGCCTCACTTAGAAGATGGATGCAACTCTCCGTTCTTACATTTTCATATGTCTTACTGTAATCTACCTAGAACAAATTAAAGAAATACTTAGGTCTTTAGCTCACAAGGCAGAATGTTTATAAACAGTTTTAAAGTTGGGAGAAACAACAATTTTAAATCTTGACTGATTACATGCTACAGTATATACATGATAGGCTATCTTGAGCAACAAAGTATCTCAGACATCTAATCCACAACATGATGCTTTTATCACCAATAATCAAACAGGAATTGAGCAATACCATTTCTTTGTAAAGCTGGATGGTTGAAATAGTATTCACAATATATAAATTCCAGCCAGGTTCTGACTCAGGTGGAGTCTTGAGTTTGACACTATCAGCCTTTCTGGAACTGAAATGAGAGAAGGAAAGAATGGAGCCATTGCTGTCCAAATAAAAATTATGTGACTGAACATAAAAGCTTTATATCACTGACTTACTAAACTGATATCTGCATGAAGCAAACAGAATCAGGAACTACTCACACACACATGCACAGATATCTTTTAGATCTTGTCTACATCTGAAAGTTAATTTGGATAAAGGTAGGGAGTACAATTGCTATCCCTAAATAACTCCATGTGTAGACAAGACCATAGGCTATAAGGTCTTGTGGGCAGGAATTGCTGGACAGATCCTTAGCTGTACAATTTACATCACTGACTTCAATGGAGCTAAAGATTTATACCAGATGAGGATCTGTACCTGTGATTTTACATGCATCTCACACAGCATTCAGCACAGTTCTACCACTTCAGTAACTTTTACAGGGGTCACTATAAGACGGTGGGTCCAAAAAAACAACACCTTAACTTTTTCATCTCAGGTATTGGCAAGGTCCCTAATATTTTGAAGTTCTAGTATTCTGGGAGGTCACAACTTACAACTATCCAAAAATAGAGAACTACTTATGTCATTTTCTTATGTGATATGATGTGAAGTAATTTAGATACCTTTCTTTTCAACTGAATATAGCTGCTGAAATACAGTTACACGTTTGAATCAATTAGATTGATAAATGTGTTGTTCAGATAGCTGTGGCAGAGAACTCTATTAAAAGCCCCTGCAATATAGAAAGTAGTGCATCATACTCAGCTTTCAGTTAGAACTGTGCAACCCTAATGACTTCATATGTGCAACAGAGCATATTTTGGCCCAATGACTGCTACTATTTTTGTTATACCTATTAGACTTTGTTCTCTGGGACAGAAGTACACTGTCCTCCCCAGAATATACCCCAGCCTTTGGCAATATATGCCCCCAAAATCCCCACAAGAGAATGTATGAGAACTACACCTTGTTCTGTGCTGTGATACATCTATTTTGGTATTCTAGCATTTGTCACGCAGAAACACAAATCTATCTATAATGTGTATTTAACATAAAAGACAGTAGGAATAAAAAGCATATTTATTTCTAATAACGTAACACACTGCTTCTTTGGAGGGTATCAATTTTTCAGCATCTTGGAGTAATTTATACACTAGGTTACAGACATTTATAAGCCTTCCTCTACCCTTTCCACAATTTTACAAGACAATCCATTGGAATAAGGACCATTTCATTTGGCGTGTTAAAGCTCAATAAAAATTCATAATCTTGATTACTATTCTCATCCTGAGACTAATTATATTTCCAACAGATACCGCCCTTTCATATACACGCCTTCAACCCTAACAAGCCAAAATTGCCTCTTTCATGAAATTGAATAGCATGAATAGCACTTACAGGACCCTTCTTGGAGGCTTTCTTCTTTCAGTAATATCTTCACTATCTGCCTTAGTCAGAAGAATTACATGGTTGTTGAAGTGACAAATAGCTTTCAGCCCTATAAAAAGCTGCATTCTTAATGCGCAGACATCTAGAGACACAGGTGGGCAAGCCTGTAAAGGAAAGGATGACTTTAGGGTTAAAGAACTATAATTAACAAGATAGAAACAAAAATCTGAATTCATAGGTAGGGTTACATTTTAAACTATTTAAAATTACATACAAAAAAAACTACATTAAAAGAACATTATTGTTACAAAGCCAAGAACTCAAAAGTTAGGAAATGCCAGAATTACAGTTGCCCATAGAGTGAGGGTTGTAAAAACAAACAAACAAACCAAACCTTTTTAAAAATCATTGGGAAAACATGTATTTCCCTAACCTTATTCTTGGAAGTGGCTGAACAGGTTTAGCTGAAGCTTCCCCAAAAAATTCAGCCTGAAGCACTCCACATAGAAAATTGCTGCCTGAATGGCTTAAGTTATAAGGAACTGAAAACAGAAGAGTGGATAAAAAAAAATAATATATGACTTTATTTAGGTTTATTTTAAAATAATAAACCTCTTTAAAATACATTTGAAATTTAGGACAACCTATGTTAATGACTAAACTCACTATAAAACTATTTATCATTCAAATTAAAAAAGTTTATATCAATGAGACCTCCTCAAATTTTGTTTATGAGTTAAAGAGTGCTGCTTTTTTAATCATATATAGAATCAGGGGAAGACATCTAACTTTTGAAGTCAACTCAAGCTTCATGAATATGTCACAATGTCATGTACTGCAGAAAGTATCTATGTTATTTTCGGTCTTTACAATGGAGCAAATACTGATATTTAAATTTTCCAAATGTAAATATTTTCCTGTTTTTGTTGTGAGAAAAGATTTTGATTTTAATTATTTTTGTTTATTGTATTTGTATTTTCAGTTTATCTAGTGGACAGAATATTTTCTTCATTTAGACTAATTGAAAAAGCAGGAAAGGTTGTTTTCCTCTTCCAGTCTGAATAAAATCCGTGAGGAAGAGGGGCAGATCTACTAAGTCTTAGAATTTGAAGGATAGGAGACTAGATTTTCAGAGATATTTAGGCACCTAGTGGTATTTTCAAAAGGGCCTAAACAGATTAGGCACCTAAATTACGCTGCTTTCAATGACAGTTAGGTGTGTAATCTGTTTAGACACTTTTGAAAAATACTACTATGTTCCCAAATAGCTTTGAAAATCTGGCCCATGGCAACCAGAAACAGTCCATTAACTAATTACAAAGGAACTTATTAACTGTTTACTAAATTAGTTTTTTAAATGCGAAAACATTTTTTGATAAACATACTTTTTCTTCAAAAAAAGAACAGGAGTACTTGTGGCACCTTAGAGACTAACAAATTATTTGAGCATAAGCTTCCGTGGGCTACAGCCCACTTCTTCGGATGCATAGAATGGAACATATAGTAAGAAGATATATATATACAAACAGAGAACATGAAAAAGTGGAAGTAGCCATACCAACTGTAAGAGGCTAATTAATTAAGATGAGCTATTATCAGCAGAAAGAAAAAAAAAAAAAAACTGTTGTAGTGATCATCAAGATGGCCCATTTTAGACAGTTGACAAAAAGGTGTGCGTACCCTGCACATTTAAAGTAGCTTGATGTAACTAGTACATTTTAAAATGCTGGTTTTGTGAAACTTTAATCCAATGTTAATTCCCATCCAACTGTAGTTTGACAAGTCCCGAAGGGGGAAATCATCATGTAGTAAATAAGTGCATCATTCACTATTTTAGATCATCATAAAAATGCAAAAATTAAGATTTAACATGCATTTATTCAGCTATATAACTGCTTAAAGAAATGCGTATAGATATAGTGCATCTGCCTGGTTAGCAAAAAGCACCAAATTTAGTGTAAAGGCTACATTAGCTGCAAATCAACATGCTTTAATGGTTGTCCCATCAATGAGAACAAATGCAAAACAAGATTAAAACTGATTATTTAAATCAGTTTCCTGCTTGCTGATTTAAATTGTGATTAAAATCAGTGCTTTAAAAAAAACAACAACCAAAAACAACAACGCACAAACAATCCACCCTGAACAACAGGGTTTTATAACAGAAAGTGTCAGGCAACCTTAACTATAGGAATCCCAACATGAGATGCCTATAGTATATAAACTAACAAAAACACTTACATTACATACAATATTCTGTACTAGAAAACTTAATTCCCGATTCGCTCAAATCTTAAACTGGTTTCTACCTCTATCATTTAAGCACCATTTTATCCTATATATTGGGCCTAAGGCAAAATGAGTCTGCCTGAACAGCATTTTGGATGAACAGTTTCAGGAGAATGAGAAGATGTTTAATCCTTTGGGAACACACCAGGCATAAAGTGAATCCACTTAGTCAAGCAACTATACCTGGTTATATTGACTATCAATCAAGTAGATTATGTGCTTCTTGGAGAAATCACCAAGATTTCTCTTAGGTTATTTTAATCATGCACACTCTCAGTTCAGATTCACATACACCATTTATATGAAAGTCACTCTCATATTGAAAAACACCTTCTATTTCACAGTAGAGTGCCTGTTTAGAGCGCTACAACTTCCCTCTCTCAGCAATTACATGACAACCAATATATTTTAAAAGCATATAGGAAAGTCCCCAAAAATATGCTTAAAACATGCTTCAACCTGTCTGCCCTAATAATAAATATATAGATATTAATTCAGTCCTGATAATTCAACAGTTTATTACTGAAACAGTTTGAAGAATGCGAAGTCTAAGCCTCTAATGGATTGAAAACCTTACTTGCCAAGACTCAAACTCAGAGGCCTATGTTTCTCCTACAACAGCTGAGAAGAGAGGGCTTCCAGGTATATTTGCTACATCACTTTAGGCTTCAGAAAAGTAATCAGCTGCCACAAGGTGAACTTTGAACCTGAATTCAGGTCTTGGCAGGAAAGTAGGCAATCACATTCCATTATTATTAGTTAAAAGTTACAAAAATAAATTCACATTTGTAAAGCCTTCATAAATATTCTGTTAATGATTTAGGATTTTAAGGAGCAATAGTATATGCTGTTTCAGCTACAACTTCCACACCCAATAGAACAGAGGAATGTACCACTGTGAAATAAATATTAAAGTCAAATCATTAATGCTTTCTTAGTGTTACTAGTTTCTATAGGCTGAAGCAATTAAGTAAGATGTAAAGAGAAGGCATACAGCAGTGTGAGGAAGATAAATGCCCTTTTGGTACCCACATTTGTTTTTTAAGTTTTGCATCTGTCATGAGACTATTAGGAGCGCACCTTCATGGTTGTATCAATGTATGGGTCCTCCTCACGAGCTGCCGCTGCACTGCATCGTACTGTGAAACACTGCAAGCTGTTACTAAGGCAGAGAAATGACAATATTGATTAAAAAGATTTGGTTGCTTAGTTATTGCCAGAGTACACGTGTATTCAAAATTTTTCCTTGTGTGGATTGAGCCATAGAGTGGAAGCAGAAGCACGGTCATATAAGCAAACCTAGGAAGTTGCACTGAAAGGTGTGAAGAAGACTTAGGGAGATGATGAAAAGCAGAGATCAGAGAACACAAGAATCAAAGTTATAACATAGTACCTTGTAATAACATGTAGGAATTGTGGGGTAAGAACTGCCTGCTGAGATTTTTCCGAGTACTGATAGGTAGAAAGCAGCTCTACTAAGCTCCCAACAGCATAGAGATACCCAACATGCGGCAAGGAGAAAAAACAGAAGACACACAGCAATTCTTTCTTGGCTGCGGTTTTTCCATTGACTGCCATGGAACTTCCTGTACATAACAATAAAAGAAAGCTATTGCTAACATTTGATTTACCATGTACTATACATTCCTATTTAGTGGGATTTGGAATGTTTACTCCACTCCAATTATATAAATTAAGTTCCTACTGTTGGTTATAAGTAGCCTAGCATCTTATGATAACATTAACAGTAATTTAAACAACCTTTATGAGCAATGCTCTTGTGCCATAAAATGTCAGCTTGCCACACAGAAAGATTAAGTTTAAGTCAATGTTTTATTATGACGCTACAGATTAAGTTCTGCATAAACTTTGTGAGGACAACATTGTTGGAAGCTCAGCACAAGTCATTGAAAACGAGGAAGTCATTTTTTCATGAAAGTGTGTAACTGCTAAAATAGAAAGTGGATAAGCAGGGGAACACAAAGCACGTTTTCTCCTAGACCTTCTGTAGCAAAAAACAAAAACCAAAAAAAAACCCACAGAGTCTGTGTATATGAAGACATTTACCTGTCTGATACATAGGCAGTAGCTGTAGAGAGTGCAACTTGGTCTCTTCAACAGAGAAGACGAAAGATGACAGATCTGGAGTAAAACGTCTAGAGAAAAAAACATAGGAAATCAATGAGAAACCACGACAAGACATTTAACTAGGACAAGTAAATAGCAATAACTGTAGAAAATATAGCTGTTTTAAGACATCATTAGTTATTAAAAAAAAGACGGTTATTCACCTTTTTGTAACTGTTGTTCTTCGAGATGTGTTGCTCATAGCTATTCCAGTTAGGTGTGTGCGCACGCCGTGTGCACGGCTGTCGGAAACTTTTCCCTAGCAGCTACCCGTCGGGCCGGTTGTGGAGCCCCCTGGAGTGGCGCTGATATGGTGCTCTATATATGACCCTGCTAGCCCGACCCCACTTCAGTTCCTTCTTGCCGGCTACTCCGATAGAGGGGAAGATGGGTGGGAATGGAATAGATATGAGCAACACATCTCGAACAACAGTTACAAAAAGGTGAGTAACCGTCTTTACTTCTTTGAGTGCTTGCTCATATCAATTTCAGTTAGGTGACTCCCAAGTCTTACCTCGGAGGTGGAGTCAGAGTCAAGGTATTGCAGACTGAAGAATCACCCTGCCGAAGGCCGCATCATCACGAGATTGATGGACGATGGTGTAGTGGGACGTGAAAGTGTGCACCGAAGCCCATGTGGCAGCCCAGCAGATTTCCTGGAGAGGTACATGCGCCAAGAAGGCTTGCACTCTCGTGGAGTGAGCCCTAACTGCAGGCGGAGGAACATTCGCCAAGTTATGACAGGCGCGAATACATGCGGTGATCCATGAAGATATCCGCTGGGAAGAAACCGGCGCACCTTTCATTCGCTCCGCTATGGCGACGAGGGCTGTCTTGCGGAAAGGTTTTGTTCGATCTATGTAGAAGGCGAGTGCTCTTCTAACATCCAGTGAATGCAGCTGCTGCTCTCGGAGTTTTAGCACGTGGTTTTGGGAAGAAAACCGGCAGGAAAATGTCCTGGTTAATGTGGAAATGGGATACAACTTTTGGTAGGAAAGCTGGGTGAGGCCTCAGCTGGACTTTGCCCTTATGGAAAATGGTATATGGTGGATCACAC